AATTTTTGCAGAGCTAGCTTACACAATGAGAGTGAACGAGAAGTGCGATGTCTACAGCTTTGGAGTGGTCACAATGGAAGTAATAACGGGAATGCATCCGGGTGATCTCATCTCATCTGTTTCTCCATCAGCATTTTCCTCCTCATCGTTCTCACAAATCAACCAGCACACATTGTTGAAGGATGTGATAGACCAACGTATCCCACTTCCTGAAAATCGAGTTGCAGAAAGTGTGGTCTACATTATCAAAATAGCATTTGCATGCTTGCTTGCCAACCCCCAATCTAGGCCAACCATGCGACAAGTAGCTTCGGAGCTCATAGCTCGATGGCCCCCGCTGCCAAAGTCATTCTCCGCTATAACATTGGAAGATCTGATGCCTCAAACAACTGTGACAGGCTGAGAATTTTCCAAAAGATTTTGTATAATTAGTATGTGATTGTTTCGAATGATGTTCCTTTCAACTTTCGTACTTTTGTTTGTAATAAATTATTTCTCTGCTTTTTATTTTGTTCCTTCAACGATTACGATGTTTTAGTATATAGTATTATTATCAATCAAAGTAAATAAAGGCTCTTTGCTATAACGAGGACAACTGGGTTTCAAGATCCTGTTTCATCCCTTGTAATAAAGTTAATATGTTTTAGTACAGTATTATTTCATCCCTTGTATAATTTGTAAGCACAAGTGTACTCAATTAACTGGTGATTGGGCGAGTAAGAGTTCAAAACATGTTGATGACTAACTAGTCAGGGTATATGTTAACTCTATATGCATGCTAATTCTGTGACAACTAAATGCTTTTCATGGGATGGTTTTTTATATTCATATTCATATTTTTTTAATATGGTTAAAAAAAAGATATAAAATAATTTAAAATTTTAAGAATATATATTAAATTAGATAGACCATCAAAGATAAAAAAAAAAAACTTTAAATTTAAGAAGTCTAATATCCCAAAAAAATGGACTTTTAAACTTTTGTATTGCTACGAATGATATTATAATTAAAAAATAACAAAATAATGATATATTTAATTAACTAATTAATGTGTAAAGTACTCTGATCACTATGAGTGCTTGACTCATCGAAGAAAAATAGAATAATTATTGTTTTTTTAACTAGCTCCATAGTTTAAACTTTTATTCTTACATCTAATTTTTATTCTGATACACATGAAATTATTTTTTATCATTTTTGTAATTATATCTTTAAAATAAATGATATATTGCTGCATCATTTAGATCCTTGAACTGCAACTTGAATATTTCATGTCGTCTAATTACTCACAAAAGTTTCTATTTGATAACATTTTGAAAGTTTAGAGATTGAAAAAACGTTTTTGTTAATTGATTCAATATTAAAACATCTGCAGGGATGCGATTGAAACTATAGGGGAAAAAAACTGATTAAGTAGCTCTCAAGATAAAAATCATAACTCACAAAGGTTACACAGGGACCTTCGCCTAAAGGCTTCCAGTTGATGGACCCTGGCATAACTAACAGATTAAAAATCTTCTTGGAGTACTTTTTTAAAGGACGACAGAGACTAGAGGAAAGCAATCATCACTCCCTTATCACTGGAAATTATAACTTCCTTCTTTCAATCCCGTCGTTAAGTAGGAAGAAACAGGGCGCCAAGACCTCAAGTTCAAAAACCCTACTATTCATGACCAGCAACTGAAAAGCAAGGAAATGTTGTAACCATGCGCGCATGCACCACCGCCATCTCCACCACCACAGCACCTAGGATTCCCAGACACTCGCTCCAAACAAGAACTGAAAATTTCAAGGAGGTTGGTTCCTTTTTGTTATCAAGGTGATGTTTGTGTTTTTTATTCCACAAAAAATCATGCAATATCAATAACAGATGTATTATAGTTGCCAGAGGAGGGCAAGCAGGATCAGTTGTAGTCTAGTGGGTTAGGATACTCGGCTCTCACCCGAGAGACCCGGGTTCAAGTCCCGGAACTCATTTCATTTCTTTTCCATCCAACTGCTGAGTTGCTTTGAGCAGACAGGATGATGGTTGCTAACTTAATCCATACGAAAGTCTACAACTTTTTAATCAAACTGCAGAGATCTGATTACATCAGCTTTAGATTTCCAGACGTTTTCTCAAATTCATTCACCAGGTCTATCAAAGCTTGGGGTGAATATCTGACCAATAGCTTCAAGTGCAGAAACATTCCAGCTCTCAGCATGCCTAACAATCTGTCAAATGGAAAGTTGCAACCCCTTATTGATATCGGAGCCACGATATAGAAAAATGTCATAACAAATAATATTGTCAAAAGCTGAAGGTTTCATCTCACTTTAAACTTGTTATCTAATTCATAGACTGTGCTTCCGTCGATTGAAATGAGAGGCCTCAATGGGAATTTCAAGTATGTTCTGCAGATTAGATGAACTGGTTAGTACAGTAATTAAGCAGGAGCTGTAAGAGTGTCAAATATGCACGAGGTGCACACTTTCATAGGTTGTCCAAAACAGTGTCCAAGGGTACTGGCAGTTATGCCAATACTGGGAAAAATCAGCAGTACAGATTTGTATAATTCAACAGATTATTAATGAACATGGGCTGGATGATAGATGTCCAGGTCAAGCAGGAAAACTCGTCATGGGAATAAGCTAATGAGAATTGGGGCTGTTGTGGAATTCAGCAATGCAGACAGTAGCAACCTGCACATATATGATAATTTGGCGGCGCAGGAATTGGCAACCTGCACACTGATACAAATTTGGTAGCGCATAACAGCTTATCCAAAGTGTTGGTTCGACTTAGCACAATCTAAAACTTGGACAAAGGACTGTCCAAGGCATGAAACAGATCAGTAGCAGACGCAACAAGGACTGGCAATTGGGGTTATCAGGTGGGCATACACAATGTGGGTTAGTGGTAGTTATGGATATCCAAGATCATGGGATCATGGAGGCTGAAAATGTGGGGGGTAGGGACTGGCCAAGGGTTGGTCTCAATCCATTAAAATCATGGGAGATCATAGGGGAAAACTACCCACTACTTGATAGATCATGGGGCCACTATGTTAATGGGTGAGATGGTGTCCCACTACTTCCTTAAAAGTACAAATGAGAGTTATGCCTTGTAAATGCTTGTATATAAATATTTGTTGCAGCTCTTGGTTATGAGGGAGGCATGTATAGGCATGCAGCAGCATATGTAAAGCATGTTCAACATGTAGGGGCATGCAAGAACATGTAGAGTGTGAGTTAAAGATAGCTTGGTGTAGCATGCAATCTTTGTACATAAAACACATACGAATTTGTGTATAGTTCCTTTTGTTTACGAGATCAATAAAGGTTGGGAAAGAG